TTAAGTACTGCTTTAAAATTTCTCTAAAATGGGGCCAGAGATTTGGCTCAATGGTTCCACCGCCTCCCTCACAAGCGCAAGGACCCAAGTTTGATCCCTGGTACCAAAAAAAAAAAATTCTCTAAAATGAATACATATAGATATGGTCCACATAAACAACCTTGATGGGGGTCCACAATTTTTAAAATTTATTTTACTTCATTTTTTATGCTGCTGGGGATCAAACCCAGAACCTCATGCACCCTCAGCAAGCACTCCATTGATGAGCCACACCTTCAGCCCCACAATAATTTTTAAGAGTATAAATGAGTTTTGAGACCAAAATGTTTGAACGTCTACTTTAGGTAAAGCAATCATGAAAGATAGGATCTCTATTATGGAGGTGAATTATTTGGTTATATTCCAAGTACAAAAAATGTGAAAAGGAAACAGCCATACATTTACTTACCCCAGCTATAAGAATAAGAAGCTATTCATCAGGGATATATAATACTAATAGGAAGCCGGGCAATGGTGGCGCACGCCTGTAATCCCAGAACTCTGGGAGGCTGAGTCAGGAGGATCGCAAGTTGGAGCCCAGCCTGGGCAACTCAGCGACTTAGCGAGACCCTGTCTCAAAATAAAAAATAAAAAAAGGGCTGGGGATGTAGCTCAATAATGAGGCCCTGGGATCAATCCCCTGAACAATAATAATAATAATAGCTCTTTAACTATTTTCTTTGAGACTGGGTCTCATTATATAGTTCAAGTTGGCCTTCAACTCACTATGTACCCCATCCTGGCCTTGAACTCACAATCCTCCTGCCTCAGCCCCCCCCCCCCCCCCAGTGCTGGGATTACAGGTGTGTACATACCATAACACTTGGCAGGTCTTTAAATTTCTGACTACATTAAATCACAGTCCTTTTCTTCTATATAGATCTTTTCTAGAAATTAAGGCTTCTTTAGAAAGAACAATTTCGGGCCGGGGATTTAGCTCAGTGGTTTCACCACCTGCCTGGCAAGCACAAGGTCCTGAGTTTGATCCCCAGTACCAAAAAAAAAAAAGAACAATTCTAATATGAATTTCATAGTAGAACTCAACTAAGTTGGGTAATCTTTCTAAAAGAGCAGCTGTCATCAAGGTAATTTCTTCAGTTTTTTTTTCCTAACGCTGTGACGTTTCTAGTGCTTTAGTGTTAACATCTGAAATTTAATTTACTGTTCTTTTCTTTTTTTTTTTGGTACTGGGGATTGAACTCGGGTCCTTGCACTTGCGCAGCAGGCGGCGAAACCACTGAGCTAAATCCCTGGCCCTACTGTTCTTTTCTTAAATATCTTGCTTTTCTTTTTTGCGACAGGGTAGTTCAGGCTGGTCTTGAACTCACAATGTAGCCAGCCTATGCTGGTCTCGAACTTGCAGTGACCCTTCTGCCTCAACCGGAGTCCTGTGATTACAGGGGTGTGACACCACACCTGGCTTAGGTATCTTGTTTTCTAAGTGCAATTTGTTTATGTGCATCTCACCATGTTGAAGTAAAGTATCAATAAATACACCCACTATTCAATCTTGAGAGTGAAAAATGCTATAAAGCTAAGCGGTAGCACACACCTATAATCCCACCATTCTGAGAGGCAGAGGCAGGAAGAACACAAGTTTGAGCCCAGCCTGTGCAACTCAGCAACTTAGTGAGACCCTGTTCAAAATTTTTAAAAATTTAAAAACAAACTGGGGAGGGCCAGGGATTTAGATCATGGTTTCACTGCCTGCTGTGCAAGTGCAAGGACCCGAGTTCGATCCCCAGTACCAAAAAAAAAACAAAAACAAAAAACAAGCTAAGGATGTAGCTCAGTAAGAAGGCTGGGGCTCAATCTCCAGTACAGGAAGGAAGGAAGGGAGAGAGGGAGGATGAGAGGGACAGAGGAAAGGAGGGAGGGAGGGAGGGAGGGAAAATAAGAAAAGAAAAATATAACAATTTTATGCTTTTAATTAAAATGGCGAAAAATAACTTTGAGAACAGTTCTCAGAACCAATGAAAGCACAAGAAAAACCAGTGTTCTTTATATGCAAGAAATGAAAGTAAGACTGGTGGAATCTTTGTGAAGTCACAAGTACTAAAATAGCCCTTGCGCCCACAACTCTCTATCATACTGCCCACTTAGCTTATTTCTTCCTAAGTACTCATCACTCCGAAATTTAAAAACGACTTAAAATCTTTTTTTAAAACAAATTACTGCCTCTCTCTTCTGAGGGTAGGACATCTCTTGTAACAGAGTAAGTGTTCCAAAAAATATGATAGTCACAGCAACAGGCTTTTTAAAACAAAAGTAAACAGGTGCCGGGGGTTTAGCTCAGTGGTTCTGCCGTCTGCCTCGCAAGTGCAAGGACCAGAGTTCAATCCCCGGAACAAAAAAAAAAGGGGAAAAAAAAGGAAACAGAAAAAACCCTGTATGTTTATCAAATCAAGAATGATTATATTACTTCCATTCAGTGGAATATCAAAAAGGTTTTTACAACAATGAGGTAGGGGCAGATCTACAAGTAACGAATATGTAAAGATCTAAGGCAAAAAAATAAGATGCCAAAAAATAAATAAATAAATAAGATGCCAAATACATAAGAATAATATAGTATATGTATGTTGGGAAGAAAACATATATACATACAAAAAAAGGTGTGGTAGGATAATATCTAATTGGCAAGCAGCCATTTCTAGGCAGAGGTGCTAGGATTTGGGGAGAAAAAGAATGGTCAAGAAGAGTGTATTTTTTGTATAGTTTAATATATATATATATAAAATGCAAATTATCTGTATATACTTATCCAATTTTTTTTAAATCAAAACTTTTTAAAAATTCATTAAGTTTATTTGTACATTTTAGGTATACAATATGATGACATTCCTCATTGGGAATTTTTACCTTTACATGATATATCTTGGTAAAACTTTTTTTTTTTTTTTTTTTTGAGAAAGGGTCTCACTATGTAGTTCCAGCTAGCCCTGAACTTGGCAGTAATCCTCCTTCCTCAGCCTCCCAACTGCGGAGATTACAGGTGTGGACTACCACACCTGGTTCAAATCATTAAAATAAGCCCATGTTATCAGTCATGGTCCAGTCCTGATTTTTAGGCACAGGAAATTTACTGTAGAGAATCAGTTACATAAAACAGGAAAGTGAGGCAACTAACATACTAGTAACAGCAGAGAGATTCTTTACCTTCTAGGACTAAAAGGGTAACAAGATGAAGGAGCTTGGGATGTATTACAACCATAGCAGGTAGCATCTGGGATCATAGAGGAAGGGGCTCTTTCTCCCTTACCCCACACCCAGCAGTACTGGGGATGAAACCCAGGGTCTTCACACTGAGCTACATCACCAACCAGCCTGCCCGCCTTCCTCTCTCCTTCTCTCCCTCCTTTTCATTCTCTTACTCCCTTTCTCTCTCTCTCACCCCTCCCTCCCTCTCTCTCATTCATTCATTAACACATTCTCTCTAAGTTGCCCAAGCTTGGCTTGAACTTGCCAAACTCCTGCCTCAGACTTCCAGAGTTCTAGGATTACAGGTGCGTGCCACCATTCTCAGCTTGGAAGGGGCTCTTAAGGGGACACAGGGGAGCTACTGCTGGAATTGACCCAAAAAGGTAGTGGAGAAAGGGTTTCTTCCCTCCTCTCATCCTCCAATCTTCCGTTAGTGCCCTCCAATAGCCAAATCCAGAAAGCAAGGGAGCCTAAGAAATTTAATTCTCTGCAATACAGAACAAAGTAAGGAAAAGGCAGGGACAGATGTGAGAGCAAACTAAAGGCCAACTAACATAGTTACCAATGTATGCCCTTACTCCCTATGGCAGAGGAGGATACACATAAGTGGTGGCTCAAAGTCTGTCTCACTCTAAATAAGAAATCAGAGGGTAAGGGAGAACTTTAAGTACAAAATGTAATTTTTGAAAGTAAATGATTAGAAACACTGTAGTAAAGGGGCAAACCGATCAAAGCAAGTCATATAGATTATACAAAATTTTAGTTAGTTAAATCTCTTTATGTATGAGAAAATTTCTGAAACTTCTTAAAAATATAAGTTCAGCCAGGTGTGGTAGCCCACACCTGTAATCCTAGCACTTGGTAGGCTGACGCAAGAGGACTGCCATGAGTTCAAGGCCAGCCCGAACTACATAGCAAGACCCTATTTCAAAATAAAAATTTTAAAAGGGCTGGGGATATAGCTCAGTGTAAAGACCCTGGGTTCTATCCTCAGGGCAAGGAGGGTAGGGGGAGGGCAGGGAAGTTCCAAGATATAAAGTGAATACAACTACCTAAGGAATTCCAAGTTCATCCATTCTGCTACCAATCTTTAAACAATGCAACACATTAGAAAGCTTGTAGTATTACAGCTTTAATTCCTTATCATATTTTGTGAATCTTGTTTCAGCAATTCATCTCAAAAAATGTTTTAAGAACTTGCTGCACAAAAGTTGTACTGTAGGGCCGGGGATTTAGCTCAGTGGTTCCGCCACGTGCCTCACAAGCACAAGGTCCTGAGTTTGATCCCCGGTACAAAAAAAAAAAGTTGTACTGTATTTACTATTTTAAAAAAGACAGTTTAAAAAAGACTATTTTTTAAGAAGTGTATATTTTTTATCTATTATATATCTTTTCTTTTGTAAGAATCCTTGGGGGAAATTTCTCATAGTGCCACCAAAGAATAGTTTTCTCAAAAGATGTGTGTCTTCTACCCATAAATGCCATATATACCATAACTCAATAAAATTCTCTATTATTTGGGTGCTAAAAAAAGCTTTTACAGTTCACCTCTGGTAAATATGAAAGAATTTAAGGTATGCATTTGTATGTACTTCCATAGTCAAATTCAAATTACTAAAATTTTGCTCATAATTCTCTCTTGAAAAAAATCCTAATGTGTGCCTATATAATATACTCCAAAGTGAGGTGTAAGTATTTAGCAGTGTAAGAAACCACCACACACATATATGCAGGCATCAACTGACTGGAAGAAAATCTACCTCGAACAACTGCAACTTGTTCTTTGTGTGGCTTCAACAAAGTCCCAGCATGCTACTTTATCAGGTATCTCTTCTTCATTCAGGCCACCCAATGAAGCAGAGTATTTCCTCCTGAAATTTGAAATTATGAAAATTCTTTAGGATTCATAACATGTTAGCTTTGAATTTAATCTAAAAAATTTAAAAATCAAGTCATATAAATGCAGGTTTACCTATTTCCTACTTATAAATATCAACATGCGATTTTTAAACTTAAAAGTGAGAATACATACTTGTTCTGTGCTCTGTTCATATTGCATTCTTGCCAAACTCTATCCACCACATGACTGGCTAATTTTTGGGGTACTTTCCCACCATGGTGGCTAGTACTATCAGAGTTGAAGCCATCAGATACTGAAGAAAATTTGACCCATTTCTGAGCAGACTGAGGATCAACTGAAAGAAAAAGAGAACAGGTTGTAGGAGAATAAAGGTAGGTTTATAGTAGCATTATTGGGGCTCTTTATTAATGTATGATAGAACTTGCTGTACCTATTTGGTAAACCTATATGTTGAGGCAAAAAACAAAAAAGCCCATTACTTTATATACAGAAACCAAAATATCTGAACATGGGACATAAATTGTACAGTAGTGTGTCCATGTTGATTTCTTGACTTGGAGGATGGAATAAAAATTACAGGGAGGCCAGGGATTTAGCTCAGTGGTTCCGGCAACTGCCTTGGAAGCGCAAGGTCCTGAGTTCAATCCCTGGTACAAAAAAAAAAGAATAAAATAAAGGGATTAGGGGTCAGTGGTAGATTGCTTGCCTACCATGCATTAGGCCCCAAGTTCAACCTCTAGCATGAATAGGCATGCGGTGGGGGGGTGGAGTGGGAATCAGTCTTAATTTTGGGAAATAGAATGAGTATATAAGAGTGATGGAGCATCAAGTCTTAGCTTGTCGAGTGAAAAAGACCACTGATGATGATGATACACATATAGAAAGGGTGATGGAGCAAATGTTAAGTGTGGGAATCTAGATGAAGGAGTTCTTTGTATCATACTTGCAACATTTCAGTAAGTTTCAAAATATTTCAAACAATTATTTTTTTGAAGTGCTTATGTACTCAAAATAAGAGTCATCATCAGAGCTGATGAAACAGACTAATATACCTGTTTGGACTTCCTCAGGAGATGTAGGTGGTGTAAGAGTAACTGAAGACATAGCAGGATCTCTTGTGGAAGCAGGCACTTGGTGGACACCCAAGCAAGAAGCTGAACAGTGAGAGGAGCCCACAGAGCTAGGAGTAGGAATGTCTGACTGAGGGACTAGAACGAAGCATGCTGGGTAGATCATTCGAACACCAGCTGAAAGGGGAAAAAGTGAACAGAAAGATATAATATCACATTTCCATAAATAAAAATAAACTTACCAATATGTGTGCTTTTGGTATAAGGTCTTTCTTTTTTTTTTCTTTTTTGGTACCGGGGATTCAACTCGGGTCCTTGCGCTTGCACAGCAGGCAGCAAAACCACTAAGCTAAATCCCTGGCCCTTTTTTTAAAAGAAACCACAATAAGCTGTTAGTAGGGTTACCTTTCGTGAGATACTTAAAAAGTAGCTTCTCTTTTCATTTTAAGATTTTCTAACTATAAATATGTTTAGATTTTAAAAAACTTTTTCTTGTACTTTGGACCAAATATAATGTACTTTTTAAGTTTTATTTTACAAATTTAACAAAGGTAATCCGGCACTAGAATTATGGACCATTTTAGTTAGGTTTACTAAAAACCTAACAAATGTTTGCATTGTTTCTTTTTTTGTCATAACTGTTCTGATAGTAATGTGTTTACTGAAACTGAACACTGATAATTTTTTAATTTAAAAAAAAGCAATTTGCATATATAACATTACCATTTGATTCTAATCCCAATTATCTCCTCAATTACATATTCACCATGCCTCCCAGGTCTAAGAATATATGCATGTATGTCTTCACCCCATTGTCAGGCCTGGCTATGTGACTTATGGTGAATGTAAGTGCAATTACACATGCTATATGCTAAAAAAAAAGCTTTAAATGTGCTTCCAGAGTCAGTATCGCCTCTTTCACTTCTGTCTTCTTCTATTAAATTGGCATGTTCCAAATATGAGTCACTTTGTTAACGTGGATTCTCAAATGAGAAGACATACAGAATAGAGCCAATCTGAAAAGAGCTGACCTAGGCAGCTCACACTAAAACCACAAGATCTTTAAAAACATTTTCTGTTACTTGAGATGATAGGTTTACCACTATATGACACAGGTTGTTAACTTTCCACCCTCTAAATATTAATTCCTTCACAAGTATTCTTGTCCTATCCTTAGCCTTTTTTTTTTTCCAACATACACCACAACCCAGCAGAAGTTTTAAATATACTTACATGGTTATTCTTGGTCCCTGTTATTCCTCTGCTCTCATAAGAACAATATGATAACCAGACTCCAGAATGAGCAGCTAGCTATATGGAGCCAAACCAGGGCCAAGCTGCAGCCCTTATGTAATTCAAGCAGGAAATAAATAACAAATATTTAGAGTTGAAAGCCACTGAGATAGCAGGGGCATCTGTTATTCAACAAAATCTAACTAATACATAGTTACATATGTTCCTGTAGCGTCAATACTCAGAATCCATACCAACAAGAACTTCTACTGCAGCTAGAGAATCATCTTCCCAATCCATATCTTCTTGTTTTTCTTCAGACATCTCCTTCAAGCAACATGAGATAGGGTAGAACTGTTTCCATTCACCAATCAATTTTTTTGTAGCTGAATCAGACATCTTGAATGCCTGTCCTGTGAGAGTGCCATTTAGTCCAAATGGGCTTAAGATTACTAGAAACCCAGAAGAGAAATCAAGTTAAGTAACTCAAGACTGTTACTAAAAAATACATCACATTGAACAAGGTGTCAAATAATTATGTAATTCTAACAAAGAAAAGAAAATCCATAATGGTAATTCCAGACAAAACCCATTTATTATACTTCATCATTGTGAAGATAAAATACAATGCTAAGATCATTAAAACTGTTAAAAATCTATGACCAAATTAGAAATACATATAATTTTAATATCAACTGGTGATATTTGTATATCCCTTAATTTCTCTTTACTCCCACTAAGGAAAGGGTAATCTGAGGAAAAATATTAATATATAAATATAAATTCTTAATGGCCACATAAATTTCAAAAACCAGGTTTAAAATTAAACAACATACATCTACTCCTTAAAAACAACTCAACAATGTTATAAGTCATTTACTCTTGAGTTCAACCACTTTCATGTGTAAAGATATCAAAAGTCCCCATGTATCTATGTTAATCATGACTTCTGTGACCTAACACACAAGGTGACTTTCAAAATATAACACATAGGGGCCGGGGATTTAGCTCAGTGGTTTCACTGCCTGCTGCGCAAGCACAAGGACGTGAGTTCGATCCCCGGTACCAAAAAAAAAAATATATATATATATAACACATATATCTGTAATATGCTATTCAACAGAATACATTAAAATCTCAACATTCATATTCAATGACTTTTAAAATAATATATTAAGAAATTTATTTTGTTGACTTTATACTCTTAACGGAGAGAAGAAAGTAAACTATTTCAAAATCAAAAGATCAGGAGGGAAATCCCACCAAGTCCAAAATGTTAAATTACCAACTTCAACAAAGATCTTCTTAAAACAACGTTAATATCAAATAGCTAAACCAATAAAATTATCTACCTTGAAATGGACTATTAGACTGTTGAGCAAGGGTAATATGCTCTTCACTGAGAAGGTATACAGATTGATGTTGATTAATTTCCACACTGGTACAAACATTGCTGTCTCCATGCAAGAAAAAGGTGAAAGAGCAGGACAAGTGTTCACTAATAAAAAGGAAAAAGTTATATTTTAATAATGATTATTGGCCAAAAAAAGTTAACCTGCTTTTTCTTCATTATGAAATTAAGCCACAATATATACTCTTTAGCCCAGAAATTTTTCATCATCTAAAAATAAAAAAGCATAGATATGAGCAAAGATTAAGCTATCAAAAATGTTCTTCATAGCACTGTTTATAACAAAATAGGCAGCAAATAGATGAACCAGTTAAAACAAGTAAAGGACACCCATATATAAATTATTATATAACCTCAAAAATAAGTTCAAGAGGGTGGGTTTAATGAAAACTAGCAAGCTACCAAAATAGTATGGTCTCAATCATTTTTCCAGAAGAAAAAAGAGTTTTCCTTAGTTAAAAGCATCTAGATTGGCAAGAGAATTAATGGCCACAATTTTTATTTTTGCTCATTTTTCCTTCTCTATAAGAAATACAAATATTCTCATTTTATTATTTCTGAAATTGGGTTGTAGACAATCAATCATTTAATGAATTCCTAATCAATGAAATTAATTTAAAGGAATGATGGGTCTTACAGTTGAAAACTAAGAATCTAGACTATATGTGAGATAGAATATCACATGAAATTTAGTCATACCTGGATATAGAGACTGGAAAATAACAATCCCTAAGAGGACAGCAGACAGATCCGTAAGACAAAATTAAGATCAAGTGGTAGAGGGGCAGGGGATTTAGCTCAGTGGTGCTGTGCCTGCCTCGCAAGCGCAAGGTCCTGAGTTCAATCCCCAGTACAAAAAAAAAATCAAGTAGTAGAAAATTCATTTTAAAGACCTAGTTCTTTAAAATATGACCATTAATCACCTCAAAACATGCACATATGTATAACTCCTTGTGTTTTTTCTGAAGGCAGGGCATAAAAAATTAAAAAGTAAATTTAAGTAAAAGTAGTGCTAAAGCTAACTAAAATGGAAAAAATCATCAGAGAAGGGCAGAAAAGAGATGAAAAGTAATACAGATCATGAGAACTTTTTCATCATATATATAGGGGGAGTCAATGGGTAATGTATAAAATTGATAGAATAAATTAAAACTGAAGTTTATTACTCAGGTTATGAAAAGTAACTGACAGAAGTTGGTCTGCACACACTGAGTCATCTCAACCAACTATTACAGTCTGTTATAGATTGAACTCCTTCTACTCTTTCTCCCTTGTCATCAATGCATTTCACTATTCTAAAATTTAAAAAATAAAAATTGAGAAAGTAGCTGACAGAAAGAAATAATAAACAAAGCTTGTCTTTCGTGATAAGGATTCAATAGACACTGTCTAAAGTTGACAAATCAAGGCCGAGAGGCATAAGATCTCTGGAATTAGGAAAGTTATATATAAAAAAAAAAAACCTGGTCATTTCTGGGGATGGAACTGAGGTATCTGAGCTGGGATTTTGTTGTTGTTGTTTTTAGTCATATTCTGTTCTAATTGGGTTGAATGGGGGACAGGGGTGGGGGCTAGTATTGGGAATTGAATCCAGGGCCTGATTTATGCTACCCAAGTTCTCCAGCAATGAGCTCTTTACAAAATTTTCAGTGTTTCACTACACTGCCCGGACTGGCCTTTAAACTTGCAATCCTCCTGCCTAAGCCTCCAGAGTAGCTAGGATTACAGGTGTATGCCACTACACCCAGCTTTAAATTTACTTTTTTCTTCTTGGTACCGGGGATTGAACTCGGGTCCCTACGTTTGCGCAGCAGGCGGTGATACCACTGAGCTAAATCCCCGGCCCTTTAAATTTACTTTTAAATTTCTAAAAACTGTGACTAATATAATCACTCACTACTATATTTTTGTATCCTGATTTTTGTATAATAATAATTTTAAAAAACTAAAACTAGAGGTTCCATTTGATCCAGGTATTCCCCTTCTTGATATATTCCCAAAAGACTCAAAAGCATCATATTACAGCAATATATGCACACCCATGTCTATAGTAGCAGTTTGTAATAGCTAAATCTTGGAAACAGCCCAGATGCCCATCAACTGATGAATGGATAAAGACGTACTTTTTTTATACAATGGAATACTACTCTGCCATAACGAAGGATAAGCTTGAGACATTTCTAGCTAAATAGATGCACCTTGAGACCATATTCTTAAATGAAATAAATTGGACATAATGTTTAAATACCGCATTGTTTCTCTGGTGTGAGAAACCAAAATGTGAATAAGGACCAAAATTCATAATAGATATTGTGAAATGGGAAGAAAACATTCAAAGGAAAAGGCGGACAAGGGAGGGGAGAGGGGGAAAGGAAGGAAGGGAAAAGAAAAAGAAGAATAAAAGGAAAAAATAAAAACAAAGCTTTTGTAAATGAGGAGGAGAGGTGTTGGGGGGAGGGGAATGTGAAAAAAAGCAGCAGCAAGATATAGAATGTAGAGGTACAAATTCTCTATAATGAATGTTACCATTATGTTTATCTAAAATGTACCAATAAAAATAAATGAATAGGTTTCTAAAATTTATAAATAATATAATCAGTGGTTACTATATTTTTGTAACCTGATTTTTATTTTTATATAATAAACTATGTAAAAATAATTTAGAATTTACAGGGCCAGGGATTTAGCTCAGTGGTTCCACTGCCTGCCTCGCAAGCGTAAGGTCCAGAGTTCAATGCCTGGTACCAAATAAAAAAAATAGAGATCAACAGATTTACAGAAAAGTTACAAAGATATAGGGAATTCCCATATCTCTTCACCCAGTTTCCCCTATTGTTAATATCTTCAATAACCACGCTACACTGGCCAAACAAGTAACTAACACTGATATGTTACTATAATTAAATCCCAGGCTTTACATGAATTTTCCACTAATGCTTTTTTCTGTTTTAGAATCCAATCCAAAGTACTATACTGAACCTAACCAACACTTTTTAATAGGAAAGAAAAAATTAAGATGTGGTTCTCCTCTGATTAAAATGCTAATCATCTTAGGATAGCTATTAATTGAGGGATTATGATGACTACAGAGCAGTAGTGGTGAACCTATAGCATGTGTGCCACAGCAGGCTGTTTTATATCATTGAAAGCTCTAAAAGGTTTGCCATCACTGCTATAGACATTTCTTTTGGTAAAAGGGATATAAATCTTAATAATGGGTAAAGAGACTATTAACTAACTTTGAGAGCTGCCCACCCCAGAAAAAGACCATTGCTATTGCTCTTTTTTTGTACTGGGGATCAAACTCAGGACCTTGAGCTTACAAAGCAGGTGCAGTGCCAGTGAGCTAAATCCCTGGCCCTGCTATTGCTCTTTTAAAGTAGTAAACTCACTTTTCTTTGTTTTTGTTTTGAGACAGTCTCACTTTGTTTCCTAGGCTGACCTCAAACTCTGGGCTCAAGTGACCCTACCATGTCAGCTTTCAGCGTGCTGGGACTAGAGAGGCACACCACTGTAACCTTGACACAAACTCACATTCTTTCACTGGTACTGGGGATTGAACCCAGGGGCACTCTACCACTTAGCTACATCCCTAGCCTCCACTTTTTTCTCCCCCAGTACTGAAGATTGAACCCAGCCCCTTGTATTGAGCTACATGTCTACCTCATTTTTTAAAATTTTGAAATGGCTTGTTAAGTCACTAAGTTGTCCAAGCTCTGCTCAAATTTTTGATGCTGCTTCCTCAGCTACCCAGACTTCTGAGACTACAGGATTGTGCCACCATTCCTGACTCCCTTTTACTATTATTCTTATAAAATTTGTACGAGGGATTGAACTCAGAACCTTGCGCTTGTGAGGCAGGCGCCACTGAGGTATATCACTGGCCCTATTATTATTATTATTATTTTTTGGTACTGGGGATTAAACTCGGGTCCTTGCACTTGCGCAGCAGGTGGGGAAACCACTGAGCTAAATCTCCGACCCCCTATTATTTTTTATTTTAAGACAGAGTCTCATTAAGTTGCCCACATGAGACTTGAATTTGTGACTTTCCTGTTTCAGCCTCCCTAAGGCCTGGGATTACAGGCATACACCACAGTGCCCAGCAACACTCACTCACTCACTCACTCATTCATTCATTCATTCATTTATTGGAGAGCGGGCCTCTTTATGCAGTTCATTCAGGCTGGCCTTCAATTCACTATGTAGCCTAGGCTGGCCTCGAACTTGTGGCAATGCTCCTGCCTCAGCCTCCCAAGTGCTGGGATTACAGGTGTGCGCCACCATACCCTGACACACTCATTTTTTATTACTCCTATCCAGGAGTATTTTCCAGCAATGATAAGGTATCCATACTGCAAAACATGCAACATACCAAATACAAACCTAACTCCAAACAAAAACATAAATGGGTACACGTTTAAATACAATTCTATACTGGCTGGGGATATAACTCATTGGTAGAGCACTTGCCTAGCATGCACAAGGTCCAGAGACTGATGCCCAGTATTGCCAAAAGATAAAAGAACCCGGAATTAAAATTTATTCTTATATTCAGATCTGTAAGCACTATATACTGAAGCACCAAGTAAAAGCAAGTGTTATTTCTTTATCATCAACAAAAATTTTAGGATAAAGTCGGGTGTGGTAGCACATGCCTCTAATCCCAGTAGTCGGGAGGCTGGGGCAGGAGCACTGCTGTGAGTTCAAGCCCAGCCTAGGATATATAATGAGTTCAAGGCCAGCTTAGAATATAAAGCAAGATGCTTTCCCAAAACAAAACAAACAAAAAAATTAAGATAAGCAAATGTCATACTGTGCTAGACAAAATTATTTAATTATAGTTATGATAAGTGCTATAGCAAAAATCAAGTACAGGATACTCCAAGGTGTCTTAACAAGATCTATATACTGAAAATAAATTTTTAATTCCTAAGGGGAAAAGACTTGAACTCAGGTATCATCACAGAGCTGTTCTGATGTGTTATGCTGCCAACTCCAATATCCATTACCTCTCTGACTTCATCTCATACTGGTCTTCCTCTAACACAGGCCTTCCTTTCTCTCTCACTATGGCCTCCCTGCTG